ATATTAACATAAATAATGATATATTAACTAAAATATATTTAAAAAATACGTTTCCGTTTTTACAAATCATATCATTATATCGTCATTTAAAATGAGTTCAATATTATATATTTTTAGATTTAATCATACTGTTAAATATCACATACAAATTATTTTTAATACTTACACTTTATAGCCTTATAGTTACAAATTAAATAAATAACTATAAGGCTATAAAGTGTAAGTATTCAAAATAAATTCTGATATTTAATAATATAATTAAATCAAAAATTATTCAATATTGAGCTCATCTTGAAGGTATTGACGAGACGATTATAATGATATAATTTGTAAAAATATAATCATGTTTTTTAATTTATTTTAGTTAATACACGATTGTGTATGATAATATGATAAAGGGTGCAAAATAAAAAAAATGAAAAAGTAAGGATATAAAATAAATTAAATAACTAATTACAAGAGTACAAAGTGTAATCAAATTACCATATCTCAGACATTTTCATAAATCCATTTTTTTATTAGAAAAAAGGATGTGTAAATTGTGGCTATTTTGGGAATTTGCTTTAAAAGGTGGCTACAAAGCGAATTCAATTGGATGGATCGGCTATTTATGTCAATTTCCTGTGCGACTTCATCCCACTTGTTGTAATGCACACCATGTGTTTGTGAAAATGCAGACGAATGCGAAAACGGAAGGGAGGATGATCTATTACACAATTGCGGATGATGATGGGCATGTCGCTGATGAAGAACGATGGTTTGCATTCAAAGGGCATGGATTGGACGATTTGACTCGAAATTTGGAAGAACAAACAGAATTTGATGATATAATCGTGTGCTCGAGAAACCCTTTGAATGGAAAGCTTTTCCCTCTGCGTTTAGCGTTGCCACCCAACAACTCCACCATGCACGTTGTTGTTGTTCCTCCGACTTCCAAAGGTTTGAACTTTCTGAATACTTTATCACTTTAACATATACAAACTAGCTGATAGAGTTAGCTGTTGGCCGATAAGTTAGCTGATAAATAAAATGAAACTTATCATTTTGCCAAAAAAATTTAGCTGATAAACTAGTTGGAAATTGTAAAATGACCAAAAGGGGCTTTTTCAATAAGCTCAAAAAGTAAATAGCGCATTCCAGGGAAAATATATCAAAATCGAAAAAACTTGTCTTAGCTTCTATTTATTGTAATTGTTGTTTTCGTGAGTTAACGTAAAGTTTGGCTGGAAACCGTTGGGCCAATGACCCTTTTGTGTTTTCATCGGTCTTGTTGGCTAAGATACATCTGTTTTTTTTTTTTTGCATCGGTCAGCTGCAAAAGATTTCTTGCCGGTATCGACATGAAAACCAAATTACGTACCCTTGTGGAATATTTCATGGAAGCCTGACCGGACGCACTCGTGCTGAAGCATGGAAGCAAAGCAAGAGATCTTACATCAAATGGTTGGCAAATAATTTAAATAACGGCTCCATGATCATGACCATCGTGGATGATTTTTTAAGCCCAATCGATTCTTTCTGGTGGTGTTTCTATTATCAGTTGTATAAATTCAGATAAATTGTTTTGATTTATTATGGTTACCAGAAAGATAGACATCTGTTCGCGCTTGTGATTTTGATCTTGATTTTTTCATTCAACTTGATTTTTTTTTTACGTCTAAATATTTCTGTGTACATTGAACATACACTGTCTATTGGATTAATTTTTTGAAGCAATTGTCATTCAAATGCTATCGGAATAAAATATTATTTATTTTTTTACTGATTAAAGTATTTTATTGATTACTCTGGTAAAAAAAAATATTTTTGTTATTGTTTTCCAAGTTTTTCGGGTTTTTTTTTTGCCTTCACGCCCTATTTTTCAAATAACAAAGAAATCAATTAATCACCTTTTAAGCATTAAGCCAGTAATCACATAAGTAGAGTCCGTGGGTAATACGAATGTAAATGGAAGACGAAAAAGGCTTAGGGGCTGTTTGGCAGTTGCTGAATGATTGGTGCAGAATGATTAAGTGGTCAGAATGATATGATATAGTACAAAATGAAATATAATTGTTTGGTAATTGTTTACAATGAAATTAGGGCACTAAATGGTTAAGGGAGTCCCAAAATGCAAAATCATTTAGAAGATTTTAGAACCATTAAGAGGCATATTTTTTTTGCCAAATAAGATTCACCTCTTAACAATTCAGATACTGCATCTTAGTGAAACTATTAAGAGATAAATAACCAACCCCCAATTGGATTTGTTTCACATAAAAAGGACTAAGGAAATTGAGTTTTCGTATATACTTTACCCAATGAGCATCCCAACCTTCCTTACCACATGAAGTTGCGATCCTAAGTGCCCATTACCAAATTATTTTATCCACCCAAAATCATAGAAATATTGTGTTAGTGAAAATTTTCGATTTACAGTTATCGATCGTTTATACCTAATTAAGATTGTTTTTTTTTCTTTTATTTTAATGAATAATTAGAGAAATGGTGTGAAAGACTATAATGCTCTTGAATTAACGAATATTCTTATTAGAATTAGTCAAATGGGACCGAAATCGAAAGGAATTTGAAACCTTTGTCGAATCGGAACCAAYACCACTGCATTGCGCTCGAACAGTTGAGCGGCCGCCGGCCCTTTCGTGCACAGATGAGAGTCCCATTCTTGCCTCGATAAGGTAGAAAGGGCTTCTTGATAGTCTTCGGGTAGAAAGAGTGAGAGCTCACTCTTTCTTTATGGGGCCCACCCAATTTTTGACCGTCAACGTAATAAACGAACCACATGGGTGAAAAATGAAATTTGTAGTACACCACATTTTCCCGATATAAGTTTTTTTTTTTTTGATGAAAAGTAAGAGAAACGGGGGAAGACTAAAATATCTTCGAGTCAACCCTCTTAACGTACATTCTTAGTGGAGTTAGTCAGATGGACCAAAACAAAAGAATTTACAAACCACAATAACCACCGGTGTAAAAAATGAACCATAAGGGTAAAAAATGCAATTTGTAACATATCACAGGGACTAAAAATGTAGTTTACTTAAATTCCTATGACATAAAAAGGGGCTATTTTGCTAATACCATATAGTTCAGGGGTCATTAGTAACTTTTATGAAGTACAAGGGGAGTTTACGTCCAACGATAAAAGAACATGCTCGTCGTTATTTGGGGGGACGACGGCCGCCGGTACACAAGCAGTCGAGCACCGCCATTCAATCGGCAACTTTATCTTCATTACACGAAGCAAAACACCATGAAGTGCACCGTCTCTCGGTCCATTTTTCACAATCTTCTACCTCCAAATTCTCCGAGCTTCTCCAGGATTTATGTCCACTTCACATCATCTACTCGTCGTAGAAGATTCGGCACTGTCGCTTTCTCCCAATCTCCCGAGGTGAGCAATTTACTTCAAATTCTGGTACAGAAAGTTTTTACATAGTGATCGATGTGTTTGCGCCAGTTGAGAATCCCCGAACTGCACGATTTTTTGTTTAAACGGGTGGGAGTATAATTTTTCTTCCTGCAAGTGTAATTGTAAGGAAAAACGTAAGCACACTTGATTTCTGTGTTTGATTTGATGTATTAGGTTAGCGACGAGCGGATGGTGGTGGTTGGCGGTGGAGCTGCTGGAATTTATGGAGCAATCAGGGCCAAAACTTTGGCTCCCAATCTTAACGTTGTTGTGATCGAAAAAGGGAAGCCTCTAGCAAAGGTTTGTACGATTGATTTTGTTAATTGTGGCTGAAAGCATAATTTCCTGAACTTTTTTACTTCTATTTGATGTTGTTTTTTTAGCGCTTTCATCCAAAGAAATTTGTTCTTATAAGGTTAAAGTATCTGGAGGTGGTCGTTGCAACGTCACAAATGGGCATTGTGCCGATAATATGGTGAGTTTGAGAACTCTATTGCAACTTGAGCATCAGCAGGTTTGATGAGACAATGTTGGTTCATATTTTATGTAGTTTTCCTCATTATTCATCATTTGGTGGAATAAATGACCTCCACGGTTTGTCTCTAACAGAAAATGTTGATGTGGTCATTCTATGACTTATTTTTCGAATTTTATTATGATACATTTGTGGAGCTATGGGTGAGTTTGGATGTGTATAAGTACCATTTATCAGCATCGTCATCTCCAACTGGTATACTTGTGATTTGCTCAATTTTAATGAGAGTTTTGCAATTGCAACCTGAAAATATGTATGCATCTCAAAGTTTGTGGTTGTGGGGTGAAAGAAGACCCAAAGAGTACTTTGCATGTGGGGCTTGATTGTAGTTGTATGTCCTTTTCTATTTGAATTCATATTTTAGAATGAAGTAGACTATTTTATCTTATCTTTTAAGTACTACTGAATTCATGAAACATATGCTAAGGCCATCTCTGGCAACTATAAGCTAGCTTAATTTTTGAGCTTATCGAAGGAACCCCATTTGGTTAGCCATAAGCTAGCTTTTGAAAAGTTAATCCACATAGCATTTCAATAAGCTCCTTTCCATTTTTTCTCGGTTATGCCTCTTACATTTTCCTATTAATTTTTTAACATTTCCAATTTCTACATTGTAATGTATCTTTTCAGCCAGTTTTCACCAAAGTGAGTAGTTTATTAGCTAGCTTAAGAGCTAACATATAGCTTTTTAGCCAATAGCTAGCTTATCGGCTAGTTTGCCAAACATGGCCTAAGAATCCTATAAACAACAGTGGATGGTGGCAGATGTCTTAACCATGTAAATAATGGGTATCTGGTCTATTGTTTTCAGCAACTATTACAATGTTCCTGTGATTTGTGATCCTAACAAGTATGTATGTAAACGTGGCCTGCTGGTATTAATAGGCAACATGGTTTTCAACAGATATTAACACACACAAACAAATGTATATACATCATTCTCATGGTTGAATTTTAACATCGTCATAGATTTTGGCAGAACAATACCCAAGGGGTAGTCGAGAATTCAGAGGTTCATTCTTCAATGTTCATGGCCCTGGGGATACCATGTCTTGGTTTTCAGATCATGGGGTGAAATTGAAGGTAGTATCAAAGGCTGATTCAAATTCTAAACTTTTTATACTTGAACATTTTCATAGAAGTTTATATTTTCCTTCCCATACAGCAGTTCAGCAATCAGATTTTCAAACCATTGTACTTGACTTTTGTTGCAAACAAATCATCTTTCTTGTGCACATGCAAAAAGAGTATCTTTATAAGAAAAGAATTATCTTTCTGTCGAAAATCATTCGTTCTGGCAGAGTAGTGTATGATGGTTCAATAATCTGATCACTCATATAATGTATGCTCTCAACTGGATGTCACCATGTTGCCTTTAGATTGAGGAAGATGGAAGGGTCTTTCCAGTGAGCGACAATTCATCTTCAATTGTTGATTGCCTTCTAAATGAAGCAAGGCAGAGGGGAGGTATTTGTTGGTACTGGTACTTATAATATTTCTATAATTGAAGTTTGTTTCTTTGAAATTCCCCATGATCCCTGGAGGAACCACATTTTGTTGCACCGTGAGCCTCTTACTCCTAGTGCACCAATTGGTTTAGGTGAACAATTGACGCTTGTGTTGCTTAAATGCATCATTAGTTCATTATTAATTGTCCTGATCTTTTGGTCAGTATATTTGAATTCCACGATTTCACATCTTGAATCAGTCATTTAATCTTCATGGATTGTCTTTCTTATTTATATCCGACACTCGTCCTTTAAACCAGTTACACTGCAGACTGGAAAGTCTGTGACATCAGCTTCTACTTCTGCTGGTGGCAAATTTATACTCAAGATTGAGAAGCGTACGATTGATTATGTGGATTTCATTGAAGCTGATTATCTATTAATTGCTAGTGGCAGCAGTCAGCAGGTTTATTTGTTAGGCTAACTGACATATTTATCATAACTTATGATAGGAAGATTTCTCTTTCTAAGGCACAATGCTGCTATTTCAGGGTTACAATCTTGCTACTCAACTTGGCCATTCTATAATTAAACCAGTACCGAGCTTATTTACATTCAAGATTGATGATACACGGATAACAGAGTTATCTGGGGTAATGGTTTTCCCTCATAACATCTTTCCATTGTTGGTTCACTCCTCAATTACAAGAATTAGTTTTTTTTAAAGCAAGGAGAAAATTATACCACTGCCTATAGCTTATTTTAAGGGTCATTTGGTTAAATGACCTTCTGACAGGTTTTTATTTAATCCATAATCTTCTGACATGTTTTGAGAATGCCTATAAACCTGTCAGAAGGTCATGGCTTTAAAAATCATTTGTTAGGAGGCCATTTAGCTAAATAACCACTTATTTTGATTACATTAAAGATAATTTTCATCGTTTCTCCTTAAAATGGTCACAATTTGATATCTTTTACCCAGATTACGTTTCCAAAAGTTAAGGCAAGTTTAAAGCTTGAATCTTTGCAGAAGAACATTCCACAGCTTACCCAGGCATGTTTCTCTCACAAGTCTTATATGAAAGGCCAAATGCATTGTTTCTGACTTAGCTTTGGTTGTTAGGTTGGGCCGATGTTAGTCACACACTGGGGACTTAGTGGTCCAGTAATTCTTCGGTTATCTGCCTGGGGTGCTCGTGATCTCTATAGTTCAGACTATAAAGGCAAGGAACCAATTTTGTTCACTGAAACATGTTGAATTCTCATTCTCTGACTCTGGTTGCTTATTGATTCAGGAACACTTCTGGTGGATTTTTCTCCCGATCTTCATAGCGAAGATTTGAAGTCTTTGCTATCTCAACACAAAAAACAATTTCCTGTAATTTTGATTCATAAAGCTTGAAGTACCCATTAGATTTTGTTTACCATTTGTGTGCCTGCCTTCTTGTAACATCCGAGGCCAATCGTACTAGATATTGTCTGCTCTATCCACACACCTGGATTCATGGTTTTAAAACGCGTCTGATAGAGGAGGGATCTTACACTTCTCTTTCTTCTTACACTTTTTCACAAGCCGTGGGTCTTCACAGAAACAACCACTTTACTCTTTGGGGTAAAGGTCAGGTATGCATACATCCCACCCTCCCCAGACCACACCTCCGAGTGGGTTATAATGGGCTTGTTTAGTTTGCTTTCTGATTTTGGATTTAATGAATGCTCCTATTAGATTGTCATTTTATAGGAGAAATTCAGTATCTTCTCAAAATGCTTCCTTTTGTTGGAGACAATCAACATGTTGTTATATATGTGTTTCTATACATATTGCAGAAACAAAAAGTAGTTAATTCATACCCTCCGGAACTTGGGCTCATGAAGAGGTTTTGGAGATACTTGTTGAACCGCGAGGTTGTATGTCCACTTTAGTTTGAAAATGTGGTTTGTATCAGGAGTAATTCTTAACAGATACTAGTTTTTGTGTAGGGCATAGATGAAGATATCTTGTGGGCTTCCATTTCAAATAACTCCTTGATGTCTGTTGCTTCTCTGTTAAAGCAATGTTCATTTATAGTTAAAGGAAAGGTACCATTCTACTCTTCAAATTGTTGCAATTTTGTATGTTTCTAGATATATACTTGATGTTGGCAATTACGTGCATCGACTTAGGGCCAATTTAAGGACGAGTTTGTCACAGCCGGAGGTGTTCCATTGTCTGAGGTACTCCCTCCTTCCCTTCTCTCTCTCTCTCACACACACCCCACACAGGGTGTGTGTGGTATCCGGACAGGCAGGTTAGAAGAAAACAGTTCAACTTTTGGTAAACAGAATTGGACATGACATAACTTATAAAATGACCAATTTATTCCTAATTTTATAAATCATTAGAAAGTTTTCGTCAAGACAATTAAAATGACATCAAAACAAAATGCTTATGTAGCTTCAATTTTTATTTTATACATTTTCTATATTATTTTATTATTATTATTTGTGGAAATCTATCAGAAAGTTCCAGGAGATAATCGGTGACACTGTTTTATCTTTTAATCAGGAGAGTTTGTTAGTAATTTAAATTGTTTCTTTTCCCTCAAAATAAAGGCCAGTTAGTTAGTGGTATCTAGCTATAAATAATGGATGTTTCTGATTTCCTTAATTAATTTGAAAAAGAAGAGAAAAACTTATTCTCTCCTATCCATAATTATCTACTTTATTAATATTTAACAAATTACATCAATTAACCAAAATATAGAAACCGTATAAAAAATAATATGGTGAGGGCAGTAAAGTGAAAGTTTAAAGAGCATAAAATACAATAAATAAAATTTAAAGAATGAATATAATATAAAGAGGGAGGCGATTTGATGTTTTAGAAGAGAATTAAGTTTTATTTTGAAGTTATATTGATAAAATATAGGTATGTTCCCTTGTTCCATGGGGTGGGGGTGGAACACGCCTTTTCCACTTTGTTCGACTCTATTCGTGTTCCTGTTCCTATTCTTGTTTGTTCCACAAAAAATCCCAACAAACGTGGAACAAGATCTCTATTATTTCTTGTCCGGTGTACCAAGCTCACCAATAGAGATGCATAAGACCTGGACCTTCCGAGCTTGTTTTCAGTAAGAAAGAAAAGTTTGGGCTTTTCAGCCCAAGATGGACGAGTGTGAAAATAGGCCCGATCAGGCTTTATTAGGCCGGGTTTTAACCAGGCCGTGAAAAAGTTGGCCTGGTTGGGTTTAAAGGCCGGGGCTCCTAGGCTTTTTTGTGCAACTCTACACACACACAGAGTCCAGTTGCTCACTTCTATTTTCCTGCAAATTGTAACCCAAATTTTTTATTTTCACGAAGATCTCACTGAAAACAATGGAGAGCAGGATTCAATCCCATCTGTTCTTTGCTGGAGAGGTATTGTTATTTCATGAGTTTTTTTGGATCATTTATGTTTCTTGATATATAAGATTTTCTTTTCCAACGTCTAAATTAAGCAAAATTTATATAAAAAATAAGTATTAGATGAAATAGACAGCAGTACATGTTGATATGAATGAATAGCCCAAAACCGACCCAGTTCCGACCCGAAAAACCCAATTGAGCCTCGTTACTTTTTCAAAATCCCGAAAAGTGAAGCTTGAAAAAACCCAAAAATCCTACCAGGCCCATTTTCATGTAAAAGCCCTTGCTTTTGTTTTAACTTAGCAAAAACGGGTATGGAAGGCCCAGGCCCAAGCTCAAGAAGGCCCGGGCCTGGTGCATCTCGAAGTACATGTTGTAATTACCAACTGATCCATTTCCGTTAATTTCATGGGCCCTATTTCCATGGGGTAATGATTAATGGAGATGAGACCCAGAAAAGACTATCAATCTATTTGCAGCTTTTAAAAGCCTTGATCTTTTATGATTACGTGAGTTTGGGTCCATTCGTATCATCTAACGGTTAAAAATCATTTGTAGGTGCTGAATGTTGATGGGATTACAGGAGGTTTCAATTTTCAGGTAAATTCTATAATTAGATGATAAAATACATCCTCTCACCAGACAACTTGTATCATCAACCATGCAGAGGCGGATTCGGTCATAATTAGTATAATATGGCCTTTTAAGAAAAGTAACCAGAATAATATAAAATAAAAATATATTAATTATTTTGAGCAAAAGGTTAGATTACCGGCAACCCAACCGGCCTGGCAACCCTGACCAGCCTCACAATGAACGCACCCCCTAGGAACCACATATGAGGAGGCATTTCAGAGCTGACTTAGCGACTAGGGCTACCAAAGGTGTTCAAGCCCGTCTCCGGCAAGATTCGAACTTGAGTTTAGTCGGGCGTTGGCCCGGACACCCTTACAAAAAAGATTCGAACTTGAGCTTGTTGTGTGTTTGATCAAAATCGCTCTGCCCCTTTGCCAACTGAGCTACACCCCTGAGGGCAAAATAAATATAAATCAAAAAGAGTTCCATTTCATTATAAATGATATACAAGTAAGGTTTTTACAACACCCAAGTTTATTTTTTTTTTTTTTTTAAAATTAAAAGAGAGCCAAAGGGATTCAAACTTTTACAACTTGTAATGCCACATGCAATGACACTACCAGTAGGCTGCATGCCTGTAACCACTTGTGTTAACTTCAGGGTGCACATATCAAATTAAAACGGATGCACCTTCAAGACTCATAATTTTTTTTGAACTACGTTGGCGCAATAGAGCGTGGTAGCACGATCACCCCCTCCCTCCTTAAGTCCACCCTTGCTTTTTATTACAGAACGCTTGGTCAGGTGGGTACATTGCAGGAACAAGTATAGGCAAGATGGCAGCGGCATCAGCACCTGCTACTTTAAAGGAACTGGCCATGTGACACCCGGTGGAACAAGCAACATGGGTTTTCATCTGAGCGGAAAATGATCTGCATTTTTGGCTTGTAAGTTATATCAATTTTAGGACCTGTTTGTTAGCACCTTAATGAGCTTAATGAGACTCACATCTTATTCGGTCAGCTATACATGATTGTTTGGTAGTGGCTTAATAATATAGAAAGTGGCGTATTCAATAAACTTCTAGGGGGATTTTTATGCAAAAGCCAAGTTTTTTCCAAACTTGCCTCTCCCAGTTAAAAAATACGCTCATTCCATATATGAAAAAGCCCCTACAAAACAAAAACTTTCCCAATCTATTCATACAAATTTAATCCACACAGACAACTTTATCCATATAAGACTTGATAGAAAATCAACCAAACATCCCCTTTGTGTATCTTTAAAAGGAAGTCTTGAAATCACGAAACTTTACATACCTTAGATGGAAATGCCACAAAAGTGGTAAACAACACCCATTGAGATGAATATGTAGAGGAAAAAGGAATATGAAAGAAGTCATGTGGCAAGAAAATGGCACCTGTCACCGTCACGCTAGTTTCAGCTACCAGCCAAAACTGCAGCATGCAGTGCCAGGTGCCATCTTTCCTGCGACAAGACTTCTTTAGCTCCTATTTTTCTTCTTTCTTTCTTTTGAATCTCTCCATTTATATTTACACATCTTCAAAGTCGAAAGTCAACATCTCTCTCTCTCCCCCCGCCCCCCTCTCTCTCTAATTGTGGAGATATATGGAAATTGAGATATGTGTGTGTATATATATATAGAGGGTGGCCATGGATGGTTGGTCTCTAATGTTTTGAATGATTGAATCATGTTGAATGTATATGGTTGACTTTTGAGTAGGCTGACTTTTCACTTGCCTACATTGACCATGTTGTGATGGAAACAGGAAACAAAATGATTGTCACCAACTTGTCTTGATATTTTTGTTTTTTTCTCTACATTTTGTCTCTTTTTGTGGATTTATCTGTTCCACAAGTCTTCTCTTCTGAACAAAGGTTCATGACAACTATACTAGTTGCTGCAACATACCCAGTATTTTTGTCGAGCGGATTTAACTTTAAGGTGGATGAATCAAATACCCCTCAAAGTCGCCTAGACGTTTTAGTCGAATTCCACCATTTCGAGAGATTTTTCGTGTTCAGGTTGATGTCAAGGGACTTCTTTGTCTGATGTCAAGAGATTCGGTTTTTTGGTTGTATTTTCTAAAACCCTAGAGCACCCCTCAAAGTTTAACCTGTGCATCTTTCATATTAAAAAAAAAAAGGTTGCTAAAATCGGTTGAACAGGTCTATGGGACCCGTTGCCGTTGGGGCAACGGGGACCTACATGGTAGTCTAGCACGTTTCAGGTTGGTACATTTGTACAAACATACACGGGTTTAAGTATGGTAGCTACAATTTGAGGGTTACAATTCCTTTGGTGATTGAACTTTTTATAGCCACCGAGTTTTTGAGTCGGCCACCAAACAAGCGGTTGTATACCTAATTTGCCTCTCGAGGCAACACGGGCCGACTCGAGAATTGCTGGTTGCAAACCCTTTTTTGCATAAACAAGCAACTATGGTACCATTAGAATTCCTTTTTGTAATATATTGATTTATATAATGATGGTGGATATTGAGGTTATAAAATATGAGATGCCACCATAACATTAAAAAGGTTGGAGTTGAGGTGTAGTCTATCTATTTAAGTGCCACTTGCCAACAACTTAGATGTGGACATATACATTTAACTATGGTCATTAATAGCATCAAAAATTCTATATATCCAAGTTATAGAAAATGGTCTACATCCCACTTGCAATAAAATATGTAGGGTCCGAAAGGACATTAATCACCTAATAAAAGTGGAACAAGAACCATATAAAACCAGAGAATTTTAGTGTTATCTGGATTACTGGTAGAGTTTGATTTTATGGTCTTGTTTTGCATGGACAAGTTGTAATATTACAGGCTAATTGTATCAGATATTGTCTGTTTTATTCACATCTGAACTTGTGGTTTTTAAAAAACACATGATAGAGGAGGTATTCAGTCTTTTATAAGGTATTTTTTGTTCTTTTCCCTAACTGATGTGAGATCTTGCAATCCACCTTCATTGGGAGCACAGAGTCATAGTTGGCACACCAGTTCGGTTCCAAGACATGATACCATAAGTAACATTCCAGGCTAATTGTATCAGATATTGTCCGTTTTGTTCACACTTGAACTTGTGGTTTTTAAAATGCACATGATGGAGGAGGTATTCAGTCTCTTAAAGGTAATCTTTGTTCCCTTCCTCAACCTATGTGAGATCTTACAATCCAGCCTCCTTGGGAGCGTTAAGTGTAGAGTCATAGTTGGCATACCAGTTTGGTTCCAAGACCTTATACCATATATAACATTTCAGACTAACCGCATCAGATATTATCAGCTTTGTTCACACCTGAACTTGTGGCTTTAAAACGTGTATGATAGAGTAGGTATCCAGTCCCTTATAAGTCAACTTTCGTTCCCCTTTGGGATCTTACAATTAAGTGTTCTTCTAAACCCTTTTCAAATATCAAATACAGTGTTACAAATTCTTATAAATCAATCCAACGTATCATCAGTTTGATTTTAAACTATAATTTATATTGTTTCATATGTTCTGTTATTATATATGTTTCATATGTGAAACATTCTGAGAATATGTTATTCCATGCCAATTTTAAGAATGGACCTTAGAATTACACAAACATATTCCTCTAAACACGACAAGAATCATTTTATACGCCTTTTATTTTAACAACCGAAATCAGTAATTATATAACTATAAACGATATATAGAATCACGTATGTACGAGTAACTGTAAACATGATTCTATGTGGATTCGATCCCGTTGGTCCATTTTGTGTATGGACAAAATGTTATCAAATAATCATCCGAAACACAATTAACCAACGGTGACGGATTATCGTACGCATAGCTATAATAAGACGGGCATGCTTCTTTAAAAATCTTCGAATAAATACTCGGTTTGCATTTACTCGGGGTCCCGTATTCATTCCGACAACAAAATTTGTCGTTATTGAACGCCAAACAAGCGCTTTTGCAAGCCACGATTTCACCATCATCATTCAAGACCTCGAGTTCTTGTGGGCAAATATGGTTTAAATCCTTTTTGCACCCACCGATACGACATTTGAACGAGTACGGTATCGATGTTACGGAGATCGGGATATTATAGCCATCGACTAAGCTAACGTCGTAAAAATTGGGTTTATTTTTGTCGGCTTGTAAAGCGAATTGAGCCAATGTCACGGGTGGAGCCCCGATTAGCCCGTTACACTGTAGTCTTCCGCCACAGTCGCCGGTTTCACAAGCAGGGATGGTATTGGAACCAAATTTACACCCTGTTCGAGCCCATATCCGGCCCACCCAATCGGCCGGAGCTTGGACTTTCCGTTGTGCACCCGGAGGAAGGTAGAAGCCACCGTTGGCTAACACCGGGTGACCTACGTTTGCGGCGGTTGCCGGCCATACCGGATACGAACATTTGTTGCTAATGTAGAAATTGCATGCTTCCACCACCACTTTTCCTGTAAATTTCAGGTATCTAATTCAATTCTTCGACTATTCTTAAATTATTTAATTTGAAATGAAAATTTGGGCTTATAAGGAATGTGTCTATTATATTATATAAAATCAAACAGTTTTTTTTTGTTTTTATTTTCACTGATTACTGTTTAATACATCTTACCAAATCTTTCTCGTTTTATGTAAGGCAAATTGTATGAAAAGATAATGTACTTTAACTTAATTCATATTTTAGGTAACGTACTTTCAAAACTTTCATTTTGGTATATAAGATGTAAAGTAATGTAATAAGCACTTTTGAGTGTTTGGATAAACAGCTTATACCAGTGTCAAACCGGTAATAAGGAGTTTTTGAAGAAGTTAAACAATTCTAACTCATAATAAATTGATAAAGATTTTTTTGTAGAAAAACACAAGTTGTTTTAAATAAACAATCCCAAATACCCCCTTAAACGAACATTAGTAAATGAACATTGCAAATACTGATAAGTTCAAATGAGAACACCACGAGTTTTTGAAAATGTGAGAAAAACCTATATTACATGTGATATGTTTGTTCTCACGTTTTTTAAAATAATGGTGTTCTCGTTTGAACCCACCTCTTACAGAATAAAAGAAAACTGTTTCTTAAAATGAATATTTAAGGGTTGTTCGGTAATTGTTAAATGGTTTAGTGTAGAATGATTAAATGGTCAGAATGATTAAGAGACTCTCATGATATAATGCAAAATGAAATATAATTGTTCGATAATTGTTTACAATAGAATTAGGGCGCTGAATGGTTAAGGGGGGCACATGATATAAAATAATTCAAAGGGTTTTAGAACCATTAAGAGACAAACTTTTTTTTTGTCAAACAAAATTCACCCCTTAAGAATTCAGATGTTGTCTCTTAATAGAACTATTACGAAGTAAACAAACAACCTATGATATTTAACTTTTAACATATAATATAGAAATATAAAAAATGAACATAATATTACCTGAAAATATGAAGAGGAAAAAGGAGAAAAGAAGAAATGGGTTGGTTGGATTCATATTTTTGTTATGAAATAATGCTTAGATTTTTAAAATCTATTTATAGAAAGTTTTGAGTGGTGAATTGTGTTCTAAGTACTTGAAAACAAAAGGCACAAAACCTTCCATTAAAAGACAAGCAAACCCTAAACACAAAGGGATAAGGTGACTCATCCATCCTTTTTTACTAATTTTTTTTAGTTATGTTTATATATACAGGAACGAACCCAGAATTTTTTTCAAATGGTGGCATCCTTTGACTATAAGAAAAAAAAATATGGAAATAATTTCAAACAATGGCACCATTTGACTAAGAAAATGACACTAACAGGATTCGAATTTGAGTTTGTGGTGGAATAAAAGTCTTGCAAATCAACTCTACCAAATAATACTTGTTATCATTGTAGTTTTAAAATACATACGATGGCACATAACAAATTAATACGGTTGCATCTTTTACGAACCTATTTTTTTTAGCCTTCGATGGAGGAATAATACGGTGGCACGTGCTACCGTATGCACCACTATAGGAATAATACTCTGTGAATTTCGTCATTCAAGCATTGATATTGTTTATGTATGATATTCTCAAAGAGGGTTCAAGTAGTTTTACGTAGTCGATCCGCTTTTGTTATCTTTTTTAATCGATAAAATGGTTAAAATTTTAGTCGATCTGCTTTGATGTTTGGGACTGTTTGGCAGTTACTGAACGGTTTGATGCATAATGATTAAGTGGTCAAAATGATTAAGAGACCCTTAAAATATAGTGCAAAATGAAATAATTGTTTGATAATTAGTCAGAATGAAATTAGGGTGCTGAATAGTTAAAGAAAGCCCAAGATACAAATCATTCAAAAGGTTTTAAAACCATTAAGAGACATATTTTTTTTTTGTCAAACATGATTTACCTCTTAGCGATTCAGAGGCTGCCTCTTAATGGAACTATTAAGAGGTAAACACAAACAACCCCAAATAGCGTTTCAATAAACTAGCTTATAAACTATTTTTGGTCTATCCAAAACTAGCTTATAAACTACTCCAAGTAGCGTTTCAATAAACTAACTTATAAGCTACTTTTTGTTTATCCAAACATATATTTACAATAAGCTCAAAAAAAAAAAAAGTTAGCTTATATTTACCAAACATGTTTTAAAGGTGTCTTTCATCTTGCGTATATTAACATCTTGGGTGAAAATTAATGATAGCGAAAATCCGGTCCCGGGCTGGAACAGTGATTCTCATAACTGGTCTTGGTCCCGTCGAAAATACTAAGGCCCCGTTAAGGGTACTTGTAACCGGTTACGGCAACCGGTCACGGGCCGGGCCTGGCCCAAACTGGTCCTATATTAAAAAAACATTTACTTTTTATATATTTTTTTAAATTTCTTTTTGATAAGTTTTTAAAAATATTTTAATGTTATTTTAATAGACTTTAAAATATCTAATTAGATCAATCAAATACACTTAAAAAAGAACGTTTTATTATGGTTTTATAATTGATTTTCAATCAAACACACTTAACAAATATATTTTATTGTAAATTTTATAGTTTTATTTTAAGGGTACTTGTAACCGGTTTTTAATCAGCGGTCCCAATTGATCCATTTGGTGTCCTCCGTCCAGTCCTGGGCTAGGACACACACACACACACACACAAAAAAGAAGGACCCAGGGGGTCCATGCATCCCCTCAACCGATTTTTGCAAATAGTTTTTTTTTGTACCATTGTATAAAATACACACACGCTAAACTTTAAGGGGTGTTCCATGGTATTGGAATACCAGAGGCATCAACTTAAAAAAGACAGAAAATTTCCTCAAAATCAACCAAAACCCCCGAAAAGGTTTGGCGAAATCAACCAAGTAACTTAAACAAATCCCAACCAAAATTTCAAATGAAAACTCCCTCAGTGGAACTCAACTAAAAAACATCAAACTTAAGTCCAAAACGTAGTTCTGCGTTTTGCTCAAAAGATCAAATCCATTTGAAAAAAAATGTACTTTAATTCCAAAAATAGACGGAACCGACTTTTCTTTGAATCAAACCATGTTGACTTTAAAATGTAATTTTACGACCTTTAATCCACCTTAAAAATACATTCGTTCAATAAAAATCCCGAATCCACCGCTATCCATAAACATTTTGTTGTTGGAGTGGACCACACAAAATCTTTGCATATGTTGTATATGAAATGGAAACTAGACAAATAAATCATAGGGGTAGGAACAAATCACATGAGCCCACTATTCAACTTTTGACAAAAACAAGTCAAAAATCTCCCCTTTTTTAATATATATATATATATATATATATATATACTTATTTATTGACCATATTTTTAATTTTATTTATTTTAAAATTAGTGTTTATTTTTAAATTAAGATTTTAGTTTTTATTATACGTTTAATTATGAGATGAAAAAAATTTCTTTCTTTAGTATCGAAGGTAAAAATGTCATTTAGTTATTTAAAGAGTGTAAAAGCTCTATTTTTCTAAAATTATGTGCCATTTTTATTATGTACATTTATTTTGGGATAAAAGAAGTATAATTTATACTATATTATAAAACATTTGATAAAAATTCTTAAAAACGATGTTTTATGCATAAATGACTGTTTATTGATGCATATTACTTAAAAGTCAAGATTACAAGTAGAATGTGCATAAGTACATCTTATTAAAGCTCCATGTTTGAATTCGTGTAATTAACTGCATATAAACATAATCAAATAAATGATAAACATCATTTTAAATATATAAGATATAATTAAGATAATCATTAACCCTAACTCCAACCCACCACTAACCATCATCCTACCACTGTAGTCGTCACAGCTACCACCCTGCCACCTACTGCCCCACCCCCACTGCCTCACCCAACCCCCACCTATAGAGCAGGGGTGGGGCGAGGTTTGGGGTGGTGGGGCATGGTTTGGGTAGGGATGAGGCGGGGTGATAGCTGTGATGACGACAATAGTGACATGGTGATTGGTAGGGTGTGGGCGCGGTGATGGGTGCGATAATCTAAACAAAGACGATTGTTACAATTCTTTTGAGTTCATTCCAATTCCCACCAATCAAATGCATGGTCAAATTTCATTCTAATTTTTTCAAAGTCAAATTTCTTTGATGGATTTCAATTCCATCAAATTTTATTATGTGAACCAAACATCCCATAACTAATAAAATGATTCCTAAATACGTAAGAAAATTGAATACGTTCGGTTTCGATATGGTTTAATTCAACGAGTCGAAACTAATTTGTACCGAAAACCTAATAAAGCAATTATTTTAACTAATAAAATTTTAAAAGTCAAGAATAATTTGCATTTAAAAATAATTATTATTTTATTTAAAAATAATAATTATTTTATTTAAAAATAATAATTATTTTTAAATAAAATAACAAAAATATGCTATTCTTGAGAATATTAATTCTAAAAAAATAAAACAAAAACCGTGTGGAATGTATTGACCGTTTCTTTTTCCTTCTTTCTGTTTTAATTGAATAAATTACGTTTTTTCTCCTTGTAGTTTGTTGAAATTTGCTACTTTAGTCCTTTTATTTTTGAAGTTTTGATTTTCATCCACACAATTTACAATTTATCGTTCTTATGATTCACAATTCATTGTTTTTTTTTGTCTTTGTAACTTACAATTTATTGTTGTTTTCTTTCTTGTGATTTACATTTCATTATTATTTTGGTCCCTCATACTTACAGGTAGGACAGTACGAGTTTAGGGTAGCAATTTTGCACGAACTGTACCAATTACAATCGGTTGGTAATATCATATCAGATATACTAACTTGGTTGGTATATGGTATAAGAAGTCGCATAACACGGTAGTATAGTTATTTATTAGTTTTTGTATTTTTATGTTGTGGAGCAAATTACACGAAAAAATAATGTACTTTAACTTGATTCAACTTCCATTTTGGTACCTGATATTTAAGTACCCGGGTAACCGGTTGAAGCATTAACCGGTTACCATGTTGATGTGGCGAGTGATGTGGTATCCAACTCAATATTATTTGCTGACATGAATATCTTAATCTAAAATTAGTTTTTATGTATTGTGGTTTATTAGAAGAAATAATTAATGTTTCAACCGGTTACTTGAATACTTAAATGTTTAAAACTTTACATCTTATGTACCAAAATTGAAGTTTTGAATGTACGTTACCCAAAATAGGGATCAAGTTACAATACGTTATTTTTTCATGCAATTTGTCCAATATTAAACATTGTAACGTTAACTATTTTCTTTGGACACTTGAATGCTTTATTTCTTGTAATTAAAAATTCTTAAACATCATATGTGTTACTTAGAAGCTCAAAATTTGAATAAACTAGCAAGTTTTCATATATGTAACTCGAAGTTGGTACAAAATCAGTACCAACATATACCAACCGAAACTGTTGGTACCATGTACGACTGGTTTGTACATGATATATCAGTTTGCATGCGAATTATATCTGGTTGGTACGTGATATTGGAGAAAAGAAAGTCCATCTCTACACGAGTTAGAGCATCTTCAACAGATTCTTCAAAACGTTCTTCAATGATTACTTTTACTAATGAGAATAGGGTTGTAAACGAACCGAACGAACATGAACAGAGGCTTGTTCATGTTCGTTCGTTTTACTTAACCGAACAAACGAACGAATACGGATGATAAGCGAACGGGAATCTTTGTGTTCGTATTCGTTCGTTTATAAATCAGGTGTGTTCGTGTTTTTTATGTTCGTTCATTAGCATGCTAAAAACTTCAAATAAGACTAAATGATAATAAAATTTAAGTCTAAATAAATTCTAAAAAGTCAAAACTTAAATAAATATTATTTGAATTCAAATTAAATAAATAAAAGATTATATATTAAATTTAATATATAAACGAACGTTCACGAACATAAATGAACGAACGAGACTCTTGTTTATGTTCGTTCGTTTAACTAAACGAATAAAAAAAAACTATTTATGTTCGTTCATTTATTAAATAAACGAACATAAACGAACTTTCCTCCGAACGGTTCACTAAACGTTCGGTTCGTTTACAGCTCTAAATGAAAATGCTTGAAATTAAACGTGTAGGAGAAAGAAATAACATTCTATAAAAGTAAATTGTTTTTAAATTTTTTAACTTCTACTTCTCCAATTTTGAATAATTTGTTGGAGATGCTCTTAACGACATAAATAATAAAAAATTGCAAACTATGAGGACTAAAAATGCAGTTTCAAAAGCCATAGGGACAAATTTTAAATACTTGAAATATTATAGGGACTTAAAACGTAATTTACTCCTTTTAATTTTTTGAGCTACAACTGGAAATTAAAAAGCAAAAGCGTTTTGCCAATTTTTTTCTTCCGTACCAAACCAGACATTGAATTGAATTCATGTTCTTGAAGCCATTGAATCCAGTGGGCGCCCATTTCAAGCGTCGAAACGTGATCCGACCCGTCTAAACTTTAAATGCACCTGCCTTTCTTGATCACCCAAATTGGTTCTTTCATTCATCTTCAGATCAGAAAGTTAGTCGTCAAGTTTCCATCAAAACTGTTATATAAACCCCTTTTTCACCCTAATAATTCCTGAAAAGGATCAAGGGGTTTTGAGATTTATCGAAGATCTATCATGGGGTTTCGGCTGTTACTCCTCTCGTACTTCATCTGTTCTCTTCTGTTCTTGCCTGATTTCTCAATCCAGTCTTCAAACTTACGGAAAATGTATCTATTTTGACCAAATGCTTTTACTATTGACTTAATTTTGACGAATTACTTATCGTATCCAAATGTGTTTATTCATCCAGACGTGGGTCAGTGATCAGATTGCCGAATGGTGATTCGTATGGCCACCCTTTTGATCCCACTCGAGTCACCCAAATTTCGTGGCATCCCAGGTTTGATTTGAATGATTTGTGGTTCAATTTTGGTTGTTTGATTATGTGCAAAAAACACAAATAGAAGGGCTGAAGTTTGTAATTTGTACAGGGCGTTTTTATATAGGAACTTTTTAACAGACGAAGAGTGCGATCACCTAATTCAATTGGTGGGTATTCAACTATTTATTTTTTTCATTGAATTCAAGGGTTTTTTTTTGGCTTTGTGTTTGTTGTTTTATGGAGATGTTGAGAATGCGAAATTTCTGTGAGTTTCGGGAATCTGTTGTATTTGGTAATTTGAATTGAATTTTGGCTAATTAGGCGAAGGATAAGCTCGAGAAATCGATGGTTGCCGATAATGAATCTGGAAAGAGTATTGAAAGTGAGGTTCGAACAAGCTCCGGCATGTTTCTTAACAAAGCTCAGGTCAGCTGAAATCTTCGTTGCATGATTAGCTCTTGATTTCTAGAAAGATTTTTTCATGAATTTGTTATGTTGGTTTCAATGGGAATTATGTTTCTTAGGGTTGTTTGGTTGGTTTTTGATCAAGGGGTTGTTTAAGTCCTGTATGGATAAAGTTGTTTGTATAGATTGAAAAGATTTTTGGTTGGAACAACCTCTCGATCCTAGTGGTTGAGTTGAGGTAAGGCCTGCGTATATCGTACCCCTTTTAAAACTCTGCTTTCAATTGGGATATATTGGGTTCGTCTAGTTTGGCTTAATATTGACGATATATAAAAACAGTAGATAGCATATGTGATATCTATGCTCTTATTATCATCTGCAAACTTCCAACCGGGTATAATTTGTGTAAGTTGAAATGGGAAAATGATAGAACTCAACGACAGTCAATTTGTTTGGATTTATATGGAATGTGCTCGTTTTTAGCTCGTTCTGGACCTCTTATATGTCAAACATATGAACACGACTGAAGGGTTTATAACGATATGGAAAGATAAACAAACTTGTACCAAGTGATCTAAAGCTGGTGAGAGATATAACATCACAATGGCTCCTCTTAGAGCAGGTTGAAAGTAGATTGACGAATAAATGAAATCAGCAGAACTTTTTTTCTTGGTAATTGTGGGTGGCTGAGCCAGTTTGTGCGCATTTCGACTAATCCCATGGCCACAATGGTCATGAGGAGGCTCGAATTGACGACCTATGGAGAGGGGTTCCAAGGCTTCACCTTTATATGCCGTTGAGTTGGTACCGGTTAGACCATGTCACTAGTTTGAGTCCTCTCTGTGCCGAGAGAGTTCGCCTGATTGTTAACTTCAAGTGTCCTGGAGGTGGGATCAAGCTGGTCCGGATACCTATGGTTACCAGCATCATGACGTACATTCTAAAACTTACGTCACAAGATTTCTTGAAATTACTGAATATGGCCTGTGGCATAGTTGCATCCTTAAGCACTCGCCTAAAAGTGTGTATATATAGAGGCTTAATCATTTGAGAACTCTAAAATTTGTGAGATCCATGAGAACTTTACCTTATGGTTCTGTTTCACATGATATTTTTTCATCCAAGTATAATATTTAATATATTGATTAACATATATTTGTTTTACAATGTGTTTGTTTCATTTGTATTCGGTTCACAATGTGGAACTTTTTTACATGTACTTTTTGTTTCACAAACACGCAAAAAAGTTTCGCATTTGTGAAACGAATAAATGTTAATCACTAGATTAAATTCTAGCCACAGAGGAAAATGATCATATGAAATAACACATGATGCCCTGATTCTCCAATATATATATATATATATATATATTTGTGTAGAATGACAGAATTATAAAGATTCCATTTTGAGCTTTTTTGGAAACTAGGAAGTTATGATTTACTGATAGCCACCTACGGATCTTTGAAGGATGAAGTGGTTGCCGGTGTTGAATCAAGAATTTCTGCATGGACGTTCCTTCCGGTAGAAAACGGAGAGTCTATGCAAATATTGCATTACGAAAATGGTCAAAAATACGAGCCACATTGGGACTACTTCCATGATAAGGCCAATCAAGCAATGGGCGGTCACAGGATTGCCACCGTACTTATGTATCTATCTAATGTACAAAAAGGTGGGGAGACGGTGTTTCCTGAGTCCGAGGTATGCTTTATTTGGTAATTAATACTAATTATGGTTCTCATTTGCGGAAACCACCGCTCTACTCAGTAGAGGTCAGGTCTGCGTACATCCCATCCTCCGAATCCTACCTCTGGGGAGATATATTGTGCTCGTTTGGTTTGGTTTGGTTTGGTTTTTACGGGTTATGGTTCTCAATCGGGTTTGTTTTGGTTGGTTTTGTGATGTTTCTTGCCATATTTATAGATAAAAGAATCTCAACCAAAAGCTAATGAGGATTGGTCTGAGTGTGCTAAAAGGGGTTATGCAGGTATGCTTTCTAGTCCATGGAAATTGCAGTTTGTAAATATTCATAATGAATAAATATTCACAATACATATTCATTATGAATATTTGGTTCTCATGATTCTTGTAATAGTTACGGTTCTCAAATAAACCTGCCCATGTTTGTCAAATATATAAAAGTACCCCGCAACCGAAAACGGAAAGTCTTGGCAGTGGCTATTGAGCATCGAGTGATGGGTATTTTAACTCGGGATCTTTTGTTACTCATTTTTCGTTCTATGATTACTATGTGTTGGTTATTGTTCCTTAGAGATGAAAATTTACATACGGGGTTGGGGGATGGGGTTTATTTTCATACATGACATTACCCGCCCCTGAACGGGTATCGGGTTTCCGGTTTCCCAAAACCATTGGGGGCGGGAGATGCACTACCCGCCCCGTTTCCATCTCAAATGATGGTTGGTTTGCAGCAACAAAATGGAAATTATTGAAGATATAATTGAATCAAGATTTTGTTTGAATCTTTCTTGAATGGTTCAGTTTCAAAAAATTTGCAGTGAAACCGAAAAAAGGTGATGCTTTGCTGTTCTTTAGCCTCCACCCAAATGCCACAACCGACGTATTGAGCCTGCACGGAAGCTGCCCGGTTATCGAAGGCGAGAAATGGTCCGCAACTAAATGGATCCACGTCAGAAATTTCGACAAATCTGATACCACAAGCGACGAATGCACGGACTTAAACGTGAACTGCCCGACGTGGGCTGCTACTGGCGAATGCCAAAAGAATCCCGTCTATATGGTGGGATCTGAAGAACGTGGTCTCGGATATTGTAGGAAAAGCTGCAAAGCGTGTTAGGAACACGTTAGTCGTATTAGATACAGGTTTCCCGTCTCTATATATCTAGAGTTTTCGCGTGTTTGTTTTCATATTTCCCATCGGAGTCGTAGGGATATCGAGAAGAGATATGTAAGTTGTTCAAGTGTTTTTACAAAGGGAAACCACAAATGTCTATATTGTCCTCATTTGTTTTGAGCCATGGAGATTCTATCTGTAGAAAAGACTGGCATTTTGGTCATTATTACATCTTCTGATAGATTTTCTTTAAATGCACGCCTTATGACCTGAACAAGAATGTCTCAAAATCTGTCAGATGATCATGGATTTAGAAGAAATAACTGAGAATATTATTTTCCTAAATAACCCAGATCTGGATTATTTAGGAGAATAATTTTTTACCAGAATGTCATCATTTAGGAAAAACCAAACATTGGTTTTAGTTGTCAGACGCGTATAGTCTCTAAAATCTACTGCAATTCTACTTTTGTGTGAGATATACTGGGTTAGTTTAACTGTAGACTGTCATTCTAAGCTATGCAGTTTACAGAAAAATCCACACTTTCTTTTTCATTTCATCGGCTTTCACACAAAGCAGGTTCTTGGTAATTTGGATCTTCGAACATAATCACAGAGTAATATACAGCTTTGATTGCATAAAATACAAGTCATCATAACATTACTGCGTCAGGAATTCGATTTCTTTTAAAAGGCATTGATATAGTAAATTCAAGAGGAACCAAGCACATGAAAGAGAGAGATTAATATTTTTGATATCATGTTAAGTATGAATGAAGAGATCATGCAAAATGTTCATCAAAAGGAGCCATTTCTACATGCATTTGTTGCCTTGGCACTTGTTAAATGGTTTCTTCACATCTCTCCATTATATGTACACCATTGCATCACCCATCACCATCTATATCTAACTGTGTGTAAAAACACCTTCCACTGTGTGTAAGATTTTCCGATGGGTAGACGGCCCCCATGTTGCGATAAATCACATGTGAAGAAAGGTCCATGGACAACCGAAGAAGATGCCAAGATTCTTGCATATGTTGCTAACCATGGCATTGGCAATTGGACTTTGGTTCCTCAAAAAGCAGGTGATTTTCCCCTTTTTTTTGTTGGAAGGGTGTTATGGGTTATGTCTAGACTAATCCCGACAAATTGCTACTGTAAGATGGCAGTCATAATTAACTCAGTGGCCGCAGTTCATGTTCCCAGTTTTCACAACATGGTTTTGATTCATCTTTTATGATGGGTTGTACTGTGTGCATGTATTGTTGTACAGGTTTGAATCGATGTGGGAAAAGTTGCAGGTTGAGATGGACGAATTATCTGAGGCCTGATCTGAAGCACGATAGCTTCACCGCTCATGAAGAAGATCTCATTTTGCGCTATCATCAAGCTATAGGTAGCAGGTAGGTTTATTCTCTCTATTTTTCTTCACTAGACTGGACTATACGAACGAGAGTGATGTAGGTTGATGAAATGAAGGTTTTAGGTTTTTGATTTGATATGATATGGGTAGTTTAGTAATTTACTAAGTTTGTCATATCTTCCAGTTTTTTGTCCTACTCAACCATGTCCAATCCTAGTCTGATTGTACTGTCTAGTCATGTCGTGCAAACGCGACGGAATGAAACAGGACTGGACGGGTGACAGTGAGGTAGGTGGATTGAAAAAATTATGGAGGTTTTAGAGTTTTAATATGACATGAGTAGTTTAGTAATTTACTAAATTTGTCCCGTTTTGCTGATCTATTTTAGTGGGACGGAAAAAATGCATTTTTGTTCCACTCAGTCGATTCCACTCTCGGTCTAATTGTCACACAGAACTGGACAACAAGTTTTTGTTATTTCATGTACTGAACTGGACAAATAAGAGTGAGATAAGCAGGTAAGAATTGTGAAGGGTTTTAGAATGTTAATTTTACATGGGCAATTTAATAATTTACCAATTTTGTCTCATCTCAATGATTTTAATTCCATTTATTTTGGTGGGACAAAACAAAATGCATTTTTGTCCTATTCAATAATGACCAGTTCAGTCTCAGGTCTAATTGTCGCAACAAACGTAGAACAACAGGTTTTCCGTAAATCTCTTTGCCTTGTATCTTTAGGTGGTCTCTGATAGCGAAGCAACTACCAGGAAGAACAGATAACGACGTCAAGAATCACTGGAACACGAAATTGAAGAAGAAGCTTTCTAAAATGGGGATCGATCCCATCACCCACAAGCCCTTCCGTCAACTTCTTTCCGATTATGGAAACATCAACGAGATCATCCCAAAAAACACCACGATTTCCGACCACCGACATCACGAACCCTCAGATTTCTCGCGTGCTGACAGTTCGTTGACCACAATGGACCCGATGAACCTCCTCACCGCTCATTTTCAAGTCATCAATGAAGCGGCCTCATCTTCTACATCATCACCGGCAACCAAGGTCCAAGTGAATTTACCATCTTCTCCCTCCATTTGGAGCGACTATCTCATCGGAGACCAAGAACAAGAATGCACGAACGAGCCTGATCTAGGGATTGTTTCAACAAACGGTGAAAACCCGAATAATTACAATGGGTTAGGGGTAGATCAGTCAAAGAACACTTTAGAAGTTGCTTCAACTTCGGTTTCTTTTGTGGAATCCATCTTAAACCGAGATCGCGAAATGCAGATGGACTTCCCTCAGCTCTTGGACGGATACTCCGAGTATTGAATAAACTTTCAATTTATCAAAATCGGCACATTGGTTATCGTGGTTCTAGTCTAGTTTTCTAGTTATATATGTAGTATCTAAACAGATACAGTTGTTCTACTCTTCAGAATAGAGGTCAAGTCTGCTTACATCTCATCAAATATACTGGGTTTGACTGGTTTGGTTTCTCCAACCGGGGCTTCTTATGCCAACATTCATTTCATATTTCTAAATGGTAAACTTGGAACTCAAACATCTAGGGTGCGTTTGGTATACTGAACAGAACATAGATCATTGTTTAACGTTTGACAGGATTTTTATGTGAAACAAACAGGAACATAGTGAAACAAAGTGGAACAGACATGTTCCACCCCCACCCCATGAAACAAACATATATTTTACTAATATAACTTAATTCTCTTCTAAAATATCAAATACGCTTCCCTCTTTACATTTTATTCATTCTTTAAATTTAAATTTATTGTATTTATGTTTTTTAACTTTCAGTTTATTGCCTTCAAAATATTTTTTTTATACGGGTTCAATATTTTGATTAATTTATGTAATTTATTAAATATTAATAATAAAAAATAATATAGAAAATGTAGAATAAAAAAAACTACATAAACTTTTTATGTTGACATCATTTTAATCTTCTTGACGAAAACTTTTTAATCATATAATTTGTTATAAAAAGTATTTTGAATAAACTAATTAAAATATATAAAAGACTTACCAAACGCTGTCAGTATACCAAACACATCCTTAACGAATCAAAAAGCCTATACGGGATGCCAAAAAGGCGAATCTTTATTATGTTCTTGAAGTGACGGAATCCCAAATAAGATGCAAGTCGTTATAACAGATTACATTCGTTATATAGAAGAAAATTAAACGAAAACAATCTAGTTTTATAGGCTGTACACTCGGGAAAGTATTCTAAAAAGCTCGATGTAATTTCATATATAATTTCAAGATGCGTATACGTATGAAATAAACAAGAAAAGATAGGTTATGGACCTTCGAGTTCTAAGAGGGTTTGATGTAGAATTAGTGGCCAAGTAGTTTGTAATTGGCGTAATCGATTTCTTTCAATTGAAGGCAGCATAAAATACATTCCGGCAATTCTTCAGGTTTCGTGCCCTGTACCAAAATCAACAAATTTTGATTTAAGGGCGCACATAAAAAAACCAAACAAACCCAGTATAATATATATATATAGAGAGAGAGAGAGAGAGAGAGAGAGTGTGTGTGTGTGTGTGTGTGAGAGAGAGAGAGGGGGGTTTAGGGGAAAACCTCATACTAAGGAACACCCTAATAACCCATTCATTTGTACGGTATACACATGTGCATATGAGTAATTGAAGATGTTTTCTGATTTCTATGCACGTCTGCGTGTTTATGTACATGTGCATACCGGACAGATAAATGGTTAGTACTATTAGGGTATCCCTCAATTTTTTCGCTTTTTTGTCATTTTCTCATGAACCTGAACCATACACACACACGCATATATATATAGACTCAGGTTCAGAGGAAAACCACAAAAATGGAAAACTAAGAAACACCATGATAACTATTTATCTGTATGGTATGCAAATATGCATAAAAGTAATTTATCCGATATGCATGCATGCATAGAAACCAAGAAACGTTTTCAATTACTATTATGCACATTCGCATAATGTACAAATGAATGGTTGGCAGAGTGTTCTTCAGTTTTCCATTTTTTTGGTGGTTTTCATATATATATATATATATATATATATATATATATATATATATATACACAAAGTATACGTTTATAGACCTGGATGGTGAGCCCGAAATCCAAGATACAATGCTTTAATCTATCTTGAAATGCTTCAAAGCCTTTTCTAGAGATGTAACTGAATCTGTGCATGTTCAAATCAATCTCAAAGTAGTTTTCTCCCTGCACAATTTCAATTATCCTGTTACTTAACGATGAATCACACGAACCATCAATTACCATGACCCTCACTTGAAATTGCATACGAAAAACAGAAGCACAAATAATGTAACCAACGAGAAAGAGGTCATTTTTGGCACCTCAAAAGGAGGAAAACCGAAGACATTTTGGCCATGTTTGGCAACCATAAGCTAACTTATTTTTTGAGCTTATTGAAAAAGCCCCGTTTAATTAGCCTTAAGCTAGTGTTTCAATAAGCTCCAAGGACTTTTTTTTTCCTATTTTTCCAATTATGCACGTTATATTTGTCCAATAACTTTTTCAACATGTCCTTTTGGGTCATTTTACTTTGTCATCTATCTTATCTGCTAGTTTTTACCAAACAGACTAGTTTATCAGCTAACAGCTAGTTCGCCATACATAGGCTTTGTGGGTTCTTTTTGTTACTTAAAAGAGGGCCATAATTTTCGATCAAATTTTTTTTATAATAATTTGAATAACAAAATCACGTAAAGTCGAATTAAAAACAAGTGAAGTAGATTTACCAAGAAAAATTCATGTTGGGGGCGTGAGAGGACAGGTTTCTCGTTGTAAGCATTCATAAGCTTCCTTTCAGCTGAACTCAATTGAAGATCCTCTAAGTTTGTCAACCGCCCCAAAATCTTTAATCTTTCCCTGCATGGTGCAATAGTATCTACCGGGAAACCTCTAACTCTTTCCACCTCATCATCGATCATTTTCTGTTAAATATATATATACATATAAATACATATATATATATATATATATATATATGTGTGTGTGGGAGATTTGCTATAAATGAATACACAGTTAAGCAAACTAAGAAGATTAGGGAATTCTATATAATGTTTACCATCTTACCCTGATATTTTCTTGAAAATGGAGCGGAAGTTCCTCATAGTTTTCGGACAACTTGAAATATAGAACATAACTCATCCCTTCTCCATCATATTCATGTTGAAATAATGCAGGCGGATATAACGGTATCTGATAAAGAAAGATATGTAAGAAGAAATATGAACACTAAAATGGTCTAAAGATTCATATTTGCAAATAGGTTGCATCAATATAGACTGGCTTTTGATACAAGTCTAAGAAATATCCATCCTTGTTCTATTTGTTCGTTATTGCTTACTTTTAACCAGTTTTTCCAAAACTTATTCTCTCTTTATCATGCTTTTCAGAAGTCGGGGGTCTTCACGAAAACCACCTCACTAAGTAGAGGTCAGGTTTGTGTACATCTTACCATCCTCAAACCCCACCTTCGGATGGGATATACTGGGTTTGTTTGGTTTGGTTTGGTAAATATCCATTCTTGTATCGAGTTAAAGGTTATGAGATTTGGGAGGCTATGAGATGGTTGATTAGAGTATTAGAGGGAGGTTCAGGGGAAAACCCCCAAAAAAATGAAAAACAGAGGAACACCTAGGTAATCATTCATTTCGACGGTATACACGTGTGCATACAAGTAATTTGAAGTTGTTTCTTGGTTTTTATGCACATACCGGACAAATTACTTTGTATCCACATGCGCATATCGTTCAGATGAACGGTTACCAAGGTGTTCCTTAGTTTTTCATTTTTTTTGGGTAAAAGTCAGGTCTGCGTACATCTTATCCCGACCCCACCTCCTAGAGGGATATACCGAGTTCGTTTGGTAGATACCTGAAGATTTACAACAAGTAGAGGAGGGACTTTTCCGGATGATTCAACTCTAGGAAGTTCAAGAAGGCGTGCAATATGATCAATCTTACGGGAAGATAAGAACACATCAACACCAATAGGATTGAAAGCCGCACGATTTGAAGCACATTCTTTCTTTTTATCTCTGCAAACAAAGGAGATATTTGAAAACGAGTGAGGTTGAGAGCATAGGATTTTGATAAATGTATCTAATGTGAAACTTATACCTTAAATAATTATGTCCCCGCACTTTAAAAGTACTTGGATCAAGCGGTGACCAACAATTCGCCATTTTCTTCTCTATCGGACAATACGGAACTTGAGAGCCTGCAACGGGTCTTTGCAAAATAGCTTTTGGGGACACTGAAACCAAAAAGAGTATAACTGGGAATTAAAACAACGACCAAACCAAACAAGCGTAATATATCCCACCCGGAAGTAAGGTATTTGGGGGTAAGATGTACGCAGACCTGACCTCTACCCTAAAAAGTAGAGCGACTGTTTCCATGAAGACCCCCCGGCTAGTGAAAAGTGTGTGAACACAAAAATGCTAAAATTTGAAAATCTAAATACGAGTAAGGGTCTCTCTGTTACCAACTTGGGGTTGTTTGGTTGGTTTTACATTAAGTCTCGTATGAATAAAGTTGTTTGTATGGATTAATCTGTTTGTATAGATTGAGAAGGTTTTTGTCTGGGAGGGATTTTTCAAAGATGGAATGAGGTTTTTTTAATTAAGAGGGGCGAGTAAGAAAAAAACTTGGTTTTCTACATAAAGCTCCCCCTAGAGGCTTACTGAGAAGCCACTTTCTATATCATTAAGCCACTACCAAACAGTCATGTATAGCTGACCTATAAGTTGTGAGTCTCATTAAGCTGCTAACAATAGCTATACAAATAGAAAGACAAAAAGACACAAATATGCTGAACTTGAGAAACTAGATATAAGTAAGCAACAACAATATAAATAGAAGCAATTACGAATTAAGATAATAAAATCCCATAAAAATTCATTCAGCCGTTTGGACAAGCAAGCACGAGTCTTACATATGGAAAGATTGGACTGCCCTTCCCTCCATTTGAAGGAAAGTCTTGAAGCAACTTTCTTCTTTGCACTTGGAGGACTTGAACATGATGATTTGCTCTTTACGTCTGTGGAGGTCGTGCAATTAAGACACGGCAAGCAATTGTTTTGTATACCAAAAATGTTAGTTCCATTATCGTATCCAACAGAGGTTTCATTAGTTGGTAGTTCACCCGGCTTCGTTAGTGAATCAGACGTAGAGAAGGAAGCGCCATTGACATGATCGGAAACTCTTGGAGTTACTGATGCACTAATGGAACTGCTTTGAGATACAACATCTGGGAAATTGTCAAGAAGAAAGTCAGTGATTGTCAAATATTTTTCAGTTTTTTTATGCTTGGCAAAATAGCTGATAAGGTAGTTGCTGGTTAACATGTTAGCTGTTAGCCGAAAAACTAGCTGTTGGTTAAAGCAATCCACAGTGGGAGAGCTTATTAATAGAGGTTTTTCCAATAAAGTGGGACCCAAAGCTTAGGTGGCCAAGCAAAATGGCTTATTCAAAGCTTGTGCAGGTACAAGCAAAAAAAAAAGAAAATTCTATCTTGGCAGCTTTTTCACAAAGGTGAGGTGGACAAAAAGCTAATAAGCTCTCAGAAAGCCTTCATTGTGGATGCTCTTAATAATCGAAGTTGTTGGTTGATAAGTTAGAGTGAGCTGATAAGCTAGCTCATAATGAATTCATATTTGGTAAAAACTAGTTGATAAGCTAGATGACAACATAAAATGACCAAAAAGCACCGAGATTTTTTCAATAAGCTCAAAAAAGCCTTCCTTGTGGATGCTCTTAATAAGCTAGTTGTTAGCTGAAAAGCTAATTGTTGCTTAATAAGTTACCTGTGAGCTGATATTCCTATTTGGTAAAAACTAGTTAATAAGATAGATGCCAATGTAAAATAACCAAAAAGCCCCAAACTTTTTTCAATAAGGTCAAAAAAGCCTTCCTTGAGGATGCTCTTAATAAGCTAGTTTTTAGCTGAAAAGCTAGTTGTTAATTAAACAAGTTATCTATCAAATGATAAGCTAATCGATGAAATATTCATATTTTGTTAAAACTAGTTGACAAGCAAGATGACAACGTCAAATGACCAAAAAGCACCCGGGGTTTTACAACAAGGTAAAAAAAGAAAAGCCTTAATTGTGGACACTCTCAATAAGCTTGCTCGTAGCTGAAAGCCGGTTGTTGTTTAATAAATCACAAATCAGCCGATAAGCTAGTTGATAAAGTATTCATATTTGATAAAACTAGATAAGCTAGATGACAAAGTAAAATGACCTAAAAGCCCCAAGCTTTTCTCCATAAGGTCAAAAAAAAGCCTTATTGTGGATACTCTTAATAAGCTAGCTGTTAGCTAGTTGTTTGGTTGCTGCATGTCATCCAATAAAGTATTCATATTTGGTAAAGAACTAGCAATAAGCTACATGACAGCAAAATGACCAAAAAGCCCCTGGGTTTACCAGATAAGGTCAAAAAATAAGGTTGCCAACCATGGCCTAAAACTTCTTACCATCTTGAATACTGTAAAAATCTTCATCACCATCAGACTCAATCCCTGCTGCAGTATCAAACCACTCTGTGCTTCCTGATCAAAATCAAATGCTTCAAAACAGAATCAATTACCAGAAGAAATTGGGTCTTATTCGAATCATATGATTCTAAATTTTTTGCAGTAATTGGTCATCAAGAATTTGGAAAAACAGGAAAACCTAATTTAAGAACACAATTTGGGGATTTTGTGAAATTTTACCGTGAAATGTAGGGTTTCGAATAGAACGATCCATGGAATTACAGATATCAGCAGAAGGGTCAACTTTGCTACGAGATGAATAACGATTAGTGCCAGCACTCGTCTTCTTCCTCCCCAATCGTCTTCTTCTTCTTCCATGAACTCTCGATATCGGTTCTCCATCTCCTCGATCTCCATGCTGTTTCTTCTTTCCAGAACCCAATCCAACTCGCACACACCCTTGTTCCTTCGATCCACATACTCCCATTTTATATATATGTATATGTATGTATGTATATATATCTCTCTCACACACAGACACACACCTAAACACGCAGTGGAGAAGCAGGGATAGATGATTGATGGTGATGAGCTTTGATCTAGGAATTGATGATGGAAAAAGCTGAAAGAATGAATTAATGGGGAGAGAAAATCGAATGGGTTTTCGAACAAATGTGCATATACACACTTCACCAATCTATAGATACAACAACATGTATGTATACACCCTAACACGAAAAGAATCGAAAACCCAAATTAGTTTGGGGGATTAAAGAACTTGATGCTTAAACAGGATTGAAAATAGGTTCTTCTAATCTGCTATTATCCATTAAATCAAAAGAAAAGAAGAAGTGTAAACAGGATGATGAGCAGGAAGAATCAGTGAGGGCTTTCTTTGAAAAAGGGGGAAATTGAGAGATTGGGGAAGGTTTTAATCTGGCAAGCCCTACACCACCATTATTGTTTCGGTTTCTTGAAATTTTTCTTGATTTTTGTTTTTTTTATTTTTTTTTATTTTTTTATTTTCTTGAAGGAGATGATGGATTACCGAAACTTTTTCAACGTAAAACGACTTTGGAGCAAACTTTTATTTATGATGCTTTGAACCTAAAATAAGACGCATGTTTACTGATTTTTATTTATTAATTGAATAATTGACAGTTATATATCTATATTATATTATAAAATATTTGACAAAAACTTGTCAAATATTTTATATATATGATGTATTGTTTATTGATGTATATTATTTAAAATTCAAAATTACAAATAGTTTTGCGTAAGTATAACTTATTAAAACTTTATTTTTAAATTCGTGTAAATAACTGGGGATAAACATAATCAAAGACAAGATAAATATTCATTTTAAATATAAAAAATGTAAAATATAATTAAGATAATCATTGAGTTCTAATAGAATTTTAATTATTATCTTTATAAAAAATATATTGGTAAATCAAAAATAAATTACTTTGATATTAATTCCAAATTAAATTATAGTGAAAAATTGAAATTAAAAAAGTTACACTAAGAAAAAAAAAACTATTAAATAGTTAATTTGATACTAATATTGATTTATTTTTTTCACATTTATATTTCATTAAAAAATAAGAACATTATCGTTTTTTCAAAATCGCATAAAATCGTATTATATCGATAGAGACAACGAAGTAAAACCAAAAATTAAAATGAAGATTTATCTCGCTATATTACGTGAGTACTCTTCTAATATATATATATATATATATATATATATATATATATAGGGTATATTTCTTTTACAACCTTGTGTATTTGTACAACCCTTGCAACCCAATTAATTGAGATATTTATAAAAATGATGGGAGTTCATTTATTATGATTTGAATATTTATGGAATATGAATAAAGTTTATTAATTATGATTGATACTTTATATTATGAAACAATCAAAACTTCTATGAAATCACATATTCATCAAATGAAATGGACGGTTGAGATTGAGTTGTATTGGTTGCACAAATGTCAAGTGTTGTATAATAACCAACCTATATATATATAGGGTTGGGTTCACGTGAGACCAGCCTGTTTTCGTGAGACCCGTGAGACCAGCATTTTACACATAAACTTCACAGCAAAAACACTGTGAAGGTTTAAAAAAAGTCGAACCTTCACAGCAAAAACAATGTGAAGGTTTAAAAAAAGTCGAACCTTCACAGCAAAAACACTGTGAAGGTTTTAAAAAGTCACCTTCACAGCATTTTTGCTGTGAAGTTTACATGTAAAATGCTGGTCTTACGGGTCTCACGAAAACAAGCTGGTCTCGTATGATCCCAAGTCTATATATATATATATTTGTTTTCACATGAGTTTTACTTGTTTCCGTGACATCTATAAGACCATTTTTTTACATTTGATTTTAATATATTTTTTTTTTGTCGATATTATTAGATTTTATATGGTTTTAGAAAACAATAATATTTTTATTTTGGATGAAATATAAATTCGAAAAATATATATATATATATATATATATATATCGATATTAATTATTTAAAAGTTTTT